ATGTACTATTTTGGTTCAACATTTGTATCAACCCAGCCAGAAAATGCAGGTGTTTTGAGTGAGAAAGCTCTTATAAACCAAATATGTGCTACCTATCCGGCACCACACAGCAGTTAGAGACTTGCTAATAAACACAGCAGAGCATTTAGGAGCTAAACAGTAAGATATTTCCCCCAGGAGTTGGTAAAGACTAGACAGAGAGGCAATATTGGACATTCATTAGGCACAGGCACATCCCTGAATGAATATGAAAGATGCTTAATGTATGCTGGAAGTGCAAATAAGCATTTGTTTGCTAAAACATAACATTCAAAAGGAGATAATATGTCAATGTTGTCTTTACAGCTTGCTATGTTGCAGTCAAGTGGCTGACATGTGCACATAATGAAGCTTTAAAAATAAGAAATGTACCAATCGTCAAATCTTTTTCAGTAACAATATGCTGTCCATCTGATTATGCAAAAACAAAGTTGTACCGAATCTTGAGTTGAGTGTATTTGCACCCCTGAAAAAACTCCTGTATTTCGTGTTTTATGCCTGAAAATTACACTGCTTAGAGATGATGGACAAGGACTATAAACAAAACAAGTCTTCAAGCAGAATTTATTTTTTAGGCAAAATGTTTGGGACCACTTCCTGTCAGTCACAAACAAAGGGAAGAAAAGCTGGGACACATTGAGAATTTTTGCATTTACAACTGAGAAATGGTCTATAGGGGAAATGACTAAGCAGTAATGTTAAAACATTATTTTACTTCTTTACATTTCTGTCTGATCTGTCCCCCAAATGGATTAGCTTTCAGGTTTTTCTTTTTTACATTCATCAACAGTCACTGTGAGCTGAGCCAGAGACCTATTTTGTCTGAGGTCTGACGGACTGCCAATACATCGCCTGAAGAGCAATAAATTAAGTTCACATCCCTATAAGGGAACTTTCAAACTGTCACTGACTTGGTAATGTCATCTAAAACGAAATTTCTTTTCTGCAAAGTTTTAAATTGAAGAAACAAGCTAATATAACATTAAAGGTGACCTATTATGCAAAACCCACTTTTGCATGTCTTTTATACATAAACATGTGTCCCCTCTGTGTAAAGAGATTCTGAAAGTTTCAGGAAAAAAGATTCTCTCTCTTTTTGTCCTGATCCATTTATATAAAAACCTGTCTGAAAATGAGCTGATCAGATTTTGGCCACTTTATGATGTCATAATGTTTTTTGACTCACCAACCAAGGTAACCCCCCCCCCCCCCTTATCACCTGAATCTCCTCCTAGAGCACCATTGTGTTCTTTATAACCAAATATTTCTCAGAGGGGCGTGGGGAGGGGCTCCTTATTTTCATCTAAAGTATCAGACAGAGAATCAGCACTTTTGAAACAGAGCTGAAACAGAGGGGTTTATGGGATGCTACAATGCACGATCTGTTTGGTATTTTGAGCCAAACACTTCAGAGACAAGTTTTATATATATCTGAAAGCTATAATATATTGGTGAAAAACAGTATAATAGTGGACCTTTAAAATAACATTAATTCATGCAGCCTTATAAAGAATAAAAGTTCAAAAATGTAATTTTCATCGACCATCCAGCTGGTCCACCCGTCTGCAACAGACGCATTTGGGGTTTTCGACTGTTTTGACGGATTTGTTAATTAAAATAGAAACATAAAATGCTGCTTTTTAATTCATGCTCAAGACGAATAGGCGGCAATATCTCGTCATGCCTCTAAATCCTCACTGAAACCACCTCTCAAGAAGGATCAAGATTATCCTGATTTTCAGCAGCAAAACGATCTGCCTTTGAGTCACGAAAAACACAGATATGAATTTTAAGATGAATCAAAAGTAGGATTTGATCTCTAAAATCAGAGCCTGAGCAACGACAATTATTACTTTTGAGGTTTAAAAAACCTGCATTTTCAGATCTATTACAATCCGATTACTTCAATCTTATCAGCAAAGCTGGGCTGGAGCGAGATAAGATCTGGAATCTTGAAGGAAATACTTAAACATTAAAGACACACTGATGCACGTGTGTGCAAGCTTTAAACATTTAGTCACAGGCCTCTTAAATATCTTCAAGCTGCAGGACTTTAAAGCTCATTAGAAAAGCTAAATGTGTTGAACTTAATATACCAGCATCTTCTGATTTCTCTTTACTATTTAATAAGTGTAGGGGGTTCACTGATGATTCAAAGATCACTATTCATTAAATGTAACATAAAACCGAATCAAATAATGTAAAAATAATGTATACTTGTGTTTTAAGTCAAGAAGTGGTCTGACAAACAGAAGTAGAGCATCATCACAAAACAAAGAGTGCCCCACTTCATTCTAAAAATATCAGTTCCCAAACCTGTATTAGTCAAACCCTACTTAATACCACTACGGCTCACTAACTCATTAAATGAGACCACCAACTGTGTTTTGATTAAATGATTAAACCGAGCACGTTCTTAAGAGGCTTTTGGGTTATTAACTTGTGTCTGAGACCGTACTATCACACATCAATATACAGAAGATCAGTGGGGGTCAAATGACTCATTATCATATATCACTCAGTGCGTTTCTCTGGTAATTACAGGAAAATGAAAACGCTCTCTTTCATCCGCTCAAACTTAATGTGAGCGGCTTCTGACCTGTGACTGCATAAAAGGTAGAGCTGTAAAATGTGAAAGCGCATAACTTTTGATAATTCTTCGGACCAGGCAATAAAATGTAGCCAATTTGTTTGCCACTGAAAGTCAAACGGTAATGGATGTAGTCGGGCCAAGATGATCGAGAGCAGGCACAGTAGCAGGTTTAATTGGCATTAAAGAAAGCACTCAGTCAGCAGATGACAGCTGAAGCTCAGGGCCATGCCAGAGGCTCTGTGGCTGCACTCAGGTTAGCATTAATGTTCTCAACAAAACCACATCATCAGAAATCTTATTTTCAAAAGATGCAGTTTGTCAACTTCAGTGGAAAGTAAGCTCCAACCAAAAATGCTGTGCAGATAAGGGGATTATTTGCTGTAGCTCTTATCTCAGGATATGTCAATACCTCCTTCAGGACAAATACATACAATGCAGGGCAGGAAGGTGCACATTCCACCCACAGGTTCTTTGGCTTTTTCTTTTTTAAGCGTCTTTATAATTATTCTTCATAAGCTCCTGGTTGCAATCTTGTGTGTGTACTCCTACCTCAAATCCTCTAAATGTTCACAGAAAATGGAGTAGAGAAAACAAGGGAGAGATTTGTTAGCTTTATCCTAGTGTTTGTGACTCAAAAGGCTTTAACTGAGCTGTGAAAAACAACATTTATAAAATAACCTGAAAGATACCAGCGCAATACTCTCAGTGCTGTGTTATGATCAAACAGCCAATCTCAAGGTTATGCTATTACGTTGATAAACTATATTCTCCGAGACAATGACACAGTAAATGCATGATTATAATTGAAATACTTTTGGACCTTTGGACCACTTCAATAAAACGGTTAAACGGGGGTAAAATCTGCATTTTTCATGAAAATAAAGAGACTTCCGCATCGGTGCTCTCTGAACCTTTTTCCACTTGCAGGCATATGTAGATTTGAGCTAATTATGGGCACTAGCTCTAAAAATGTCTTGCACACAATTAAAAACCATAACACTGAGACCAGGATGACACAGAGCAGTCAGATTACTCATCACCTATCTCAGCTTTTTATCTGCGAGAAAACTCTCTTCAACAAGACATGCATAGAGCAGGGTACAAGAACTTAACGTCTGTGTGAATATCACCAGTTTCACTTGGTGCCATCAAAATAATCTCAAGAGGGCCATCTTGTTAAAGGAAGCACGACAACATGTTGAGAACAGAACATTTAATGTGAGGGATTAAATAGCTTTAACTGCAGAGAAACAGAACAGCACAGTTTCATTTCTCACTACAAGCTGCTTACCCAATGAGCTCTGAACTACCTGTTTTGCCAACAACAGGATGGTTCAGTGAACACCTCAGTGAGATGCATCTCGACATAATTTTAACACTATGTTATGCTGGAGCCAAAATGGGAGTCAGAATATAGTATGCATCGCATCACTGGGAATATTTAATTTGATGTTTTCCCTGTTAGGCTTTGTTTCAGTAGTTGGTTAATAGCAGAGAGATGAAAATACAATACCCAACTGAGCAGGAAACACTCTGGAGTGATGTCAACAAAAAGAAAGTGAATAGAAAAGTCGGCTTACTATAAAATACTTTTGTGGTTCTCAAGGTGCTACGACATCACAATCAGAATATATATTGCCGCTTTGCACAATATATTTATATTAATGGAGACAGCAACAGCTTTCGACATCCACTACTCCCACTCTATTGCGTTTCAATGCCCTACAGAGTTGATCTCTTTTTGTGTCATCCCACTATTCAAGAAAATAGGCTGCTGCTGAGCTCAACCATAGCCTCTCTTCCCATTCCCCACAAGCCCACAATGAGTCTGCAATGGCATAAAAGATCATTTGCCGGAAATGATCATGATACACTAACTCACACACACACCTATTTGTTTAGGCTAAATACCATTAAAATGACTTAAGTGTGATGGAGATGTATGGGAATTAGTGCCTTACTGTCACTTCAGGCTCCTATATCAGACTCTTATAGTTACCCCCCATGTAACATCTGTGTGTGTGAGTGTGTGTGTGTGTGTGTGTGTGTGTGTGGTGTGTGTGTGTGTGTGTGTGTGTGTGTGTGTGTGTGTGTGTGTGTGTGTGATGGCTTCAATGTCCCTGAGAGAAGGAAAAGACACTTCGTGTGTCAGACTTGGCACGAGAAGCTGAAGGAAAACGGAAGAAAATGTGTTTCTACAACGTGACTGCATTCAAAGCCTGAAAACTGTAATTTGAGATATGAATTCATTACACGGCCTCTCATCAGTAGCCGGGGATAATGTGATGCAACAGCGCCGCTTAGCGTCGCTCGGCGCCGTGTCTGAGCGGCTCTGGCGGGGAGTCTCCCTCATCACACGCGGACTCACCTTCGGTGTCACAAAGCGCGGCTGCTGCAGGTTTGCGGTCGCGGAGGTTTTGCGCCTTCTTCTTCGGAGTCCGTGCGATGAATGCTGAGTTTTACTGCCGTGGTCTGAGGGCCCGTGCAGGCAGCCACCATGACCTGTCCGTTTACTGGCATTGTGGTTCCTTCTCACAGCGTCAGTGAAACCAGAGGAAAAGTGTTCAAACTTGATCTGAAAAACAAGGACATAGAAAATGCTATTGCTTATTGCACTGACTGCAGCCCTCAAAATCGCAGACTTGTTGAATTCGACTCTGTTCTATAAAAAGGACGCGCGCCTACATGCTGGTGCCTAATATGAGCGATACACACTACCCAATATTCCTCGTGACTCACAAGCATTTTAACAGTTAGAGTTAGATCAAATACGAGCTCAGTCCACGTGCCTGTATGTGCATGTACACGCGCGCGCGTTGCTGATATGTATGTTTGAGCACAAGTGCGTGTGTTTGTGTTCATCTTTTGGGGGAGAGGAGACTAGGGCTTATTGAATGGAAAACTGGCTTGAGGAAAACAAGTTAAATTCAAAGGTAGGACGGTGTGTGTGTGTGGTGTGTGTGTGTGTGTGTGTGTGTGTGTGTGTGTGTGTGTGTGTGTGTGTGTGTGTGTGTGTGTGTGTGTGTGTCAGAGAGAGAGAGAGAGAGAGAGAGAGAGAGAGAGAGAGAGAGAGAGAGATAGAGAGGGAGAGAGGAGAGAGAGAAAAAGAGAGAGAGAGAGAGAAAAAAAAAGAGAGGGCGCGTTAAAACAGCCTGTGGCTCCTAGCGAATATTCCCCTCACGCTCCTCTCCGGTGCCGGGCTCGCTATGTAGGGGCAGCAGCAGTTTGTGTGTCGGGGACTCGGACGAACGAAATGAGCGAAGAGAGGGAAACAAACCAGCCACCCCACCAACCTGCCTATATGCTCCACTTTTAAAGGAGAGCGAGAGTGCGGGCAGATTGGAAACCACTGAACCCCCACTATTTCTGCTCAATATCAGCGTCACCCCCGAGAGAAGCGAGTTAGTTTGAACCCAAGCCAAAAAAACACTAATTAATCCAACTCACCCCATTCCCGTGACACATCTCTCCAGGCGGCCAGGTGGAGATGACATTGCAGCCTGTTACTCCATTCGGGTGCCCTCGGCAGGAGTGGGAATCACATAAGACTCTCCTCCGTCAAATTAATCCATCAATTTCTCCTCCATCCAGTCCCCCCCAAAACACCACCTCCACACGGATAAATCCACCTGTCTGCCTCTGAAGACCACCCCCCTCCCCAGCACCTCACCCCCGGTAGATTGGTAGTATTCCTCTCGGTTAAGATGTCAAACACCGTCCACTCAATGGCAGAGATGGATTGGGGGAAGAAGGGGGAAAGAAGAAACGCCGTGGAGGTGCGGGGATCAGTGAGACTCATGAATCCAAAATCAGCCTATTTGGTTTGGAATCTCCAGCGGCAGCCCCGCGCGTTCCGCAGTGAGGGCTCGTGGACAGGTCCGCGCGCCTCCTCCTCCTCCTCCTCCTCCTCTCTTGTCCTCCTCCTCAGGCCGCTCGCGGATTCTTGGAGACTGAAGGGGGGATTCCGTCACAAATAACATCAAAACGCACGCAGGCACGTATAAAAATCCCCCCCCCCAAACACACTATCTCCCTCTGTATTTTCCCACTCTCTCACGCGCTCTCCGAAAGAGCACCGCACTATCCCCCCATAACACCCTAAACAATTCAGAATAAGTTTAAAGGGGTCGAGTTATTTTTGTAGCTCTGTGCGCCGCACGACGGAGGTGATGCTCCGGCAGCAGATAGAGTGCTGGGTGGAGAGGAATAAGGAAATATTCTCCGGCAGTCTCTTTACCCCGCAGCCCGTCCGCCCACGCTTCGCTGGCTGAAGGTACTTACACATCAGCCTAGTTAATTAAACATATGGGCAACGGGCCTGAATGAGAAAAATGATGGTGTGGTGAAGGGTGGAGAGGGGGGTAGTGGTGGAGGGTGACTTGGGTGACTTCATCTCCTCGTCATAAAATATCAAAACGATGGTGAGTTGAGAGGGTGCGCGCAAGAGGAACATTTGTCCATGTCTAGCCCTCCGAAAAAAAGCGACTTCAACTTCACAGTTCGTTCAAACTGATGTGTCTTGTCCTTGTGTCTCTCTCGGGGTTTTTGCCTCTATGCGCGTCGCTTTTCCTGTTATGTCTTCTCCCCCAAAATAGGACGCAAGACAGGTATGGCGCACGTACACCATCATCGTTTATCACCTGTTGTCAACTCGCCATACGAAACAGCATGCGTTTTGACAAGCGTCTCTTAATATCTGTGTGTGTGAGTGTGTGTGGTTGTATGTGTGTGTTTGGGCTGTGACGACCGTCTCGGCGTCAAACAAGTCATCGCGTCGCGCCTCCGCTCCACGGAGCATCCACTGCGCACAGATAAAACATTTTTAATTTCCGCTGAACTGTTGTAAACCAATCATCTAGGGCTCCCTATTCCCAAAATCTAAAATACAGATTACTTCAAAATGACTGCACCGAAGCGTTTATTGCTGATGATATGTCATGTTCTCTCGTCAGAGCCGGGGTTTGTTAAACGGGTGAGATAAGGGAAAATAGAGCCGACGCTCGTGAATTACACAGCCTCAATTAAACATAATTAGTCGATCAAAACTGCAGCACAGGGGGTCCTAGGGGAGGGCTGACAACCCCCCCCCCCCCCCCCCCCTCGCTCTCCCCCGTGCCTCTCTCTGCATCTCCCTCTGAGTTTTCCCTTGGAGTCCCATAGCGGACAGATGGTGTAGATACTGCATGGGGCCATGTTAGCAGCCGGGGATCTAGGACTGGCTGTCATAAGTTGAGTTACACTTTGAGGCAAAAAAACAGCCCTGTGTAAGCGGACCTAAGGGCTTATTATTAAGGAAAACTTCTCCTCCTCCTCCTCCTCCTCCTCCTTTATCCCTAGAATAAAAATCTCACCTGTTGATGTCCTCCTCCGTCAGAGCCTCCAAGGCTTGAAATAAAAGAAACAGACGATTGCATAACGTGTACATAAAAGAGAGAGGGACAGACCACATGATGAGTGAATGGTGGTCCACTTTTCTTGAGGAAATAATTCCTGGGGTTTCAAATATAATGGCTCTGACTTTCTTTCATCCCACCCACCACCCTCTCCTCCTGCTCCTTTTCACCCATTAGAGGCGCCCTGTTGGGACAGGCTGGACACAGGACATACCCCCTGGGATCTGTGGAGAATGCTATAGAGGCTTTTAAGCTAAAACAGCAGCTTGTATTTGTATGTTAACCAACAAGCAGTAACGATAGAGTACAGTATGCCTAAGCTCTTCCTATTCTATATTAAACATTAAGCTATTTCCAAATAAATACAATCATTATAGAGGGCCACCATAAATACGCTTTTAAGAAATTCAGTTTCTTTAAATATTATCTAATTAATACCTGCAGACTTCCCTAGAGCGCTTATTGGGACGTGACCTTTCTCAGGATTCTGGTGCAAAGTCTTGAGAATCTCTCTTTCTCATTTGCATTCATCCGGTGCACAGTAGCACAACACATGGACAGTCAGCTCTGCCCCGTTTGAAGACAGTTGCAGGTCCACAGTGTTGAAAATTCTCTGAACAGGCATCCCCGTTATTATCACTGATTTATAATCATCGGGCTCAGCTGTCATGCATCTTTCATGGAACAACATTGAACAGGAGTTACTCAGGCATGTCGTGATGCGGAGACGCTGCCGGACACGCTCAAACAGACACTCAGCTCAGGTTCAGATTTGGCTTCACAGCATCCAAACACCCCAGTGAGCCAGCTGCCCAGTGAGTGATAATATAATATTTGAAAACAAGAGAGACCCATTGTGATAATGGGTAGTGTGTCCACTATTTTTTTATTACTCTGTGTAATTATTAAGCTCATTGCACTAATGTTGTTTAGTTAGCAGTCAAAGCCCAGCACTGCAATATTCCTGTATTGAGGGGAGGAAACAGAGTCTAATTAAGAGGCTCCAACTATGTAACCAGCAGGCAGGCTCACAAACAAACTGATAAATAAATATATAAATAAATGAATAAATAGATAAATAAATTACAGGGAAGAGAACGATTATACAAGGCCTCTGACAAAAATGATGTGGGCAAATTTTGTATCCATGGTAACTGACTTTTTCAGTGTCACCACTTTTGTTTTGGAAGAGGCGCAACCCAGATGCATTATGGTTTATGTTTCGCAGAACTGTGCTGGGCTACTTAAGTCCCCATTCATAAACAACTGGCCACACTAACTACAGGATGCCATCTACTAATCCACAGACTGATGTGCAGCAGACCCAAATCACACAGTTGCTCACACCATACACACACACCCGGCACAGGCAGCTGATGCAACTAATATGGAAATCTTTTAAAGCACACGCTGCTAATTAGCTGCACAGCTAACTGAAACCAAGTCCATAAAAGCCTGTTACTGTCAACTTTGCTTAAAAATCTTTTTAGTAAGAAGCACATTGTTTCCATGACAACAAGACCTGATGGCATACTTTGGGTTGTATTTTTTACAATCAATTTGTATGTTTTATTAAGAATAGCTATGTGGATTGTATGCATCTTACTCACTAACTTTGTAAGTCCCTACATGCTGATTCTTCTATTAAAATGTCTTTGCATCTTCACACAGGCGGCTCACACTTATCGGACCATCATCAGTCCGTTTGATTGACAGGCAAATACAATAGAAATCCACAAAAGTATGATTCACTTTAGTGTTTCTATGCAACTGAAGTAAGCTGGTTGGTAAAGAAAGTAGGTGGGCTGCGTTCGTCCTGATGACTGTATGATGAGCCTACGAGATAAATGTCTTCTTTTTTTTTATCTCGACTCTTCCTCCTTTTTTTCTCCGACTGAGGCACTGCCATTGCATTGTAGCTACAGTACATGGCTTTATATAGACTCAGGAAATGAATCACTCCGTCAATAAATGGCAACAAAATAAACAGACATTTATTCAAGGCTCTCTATCTGGAGCACAACGGTGTGCTAGGTGGCATTTACCGAGTTATAGATACTCTCTCTAGTCTGTCTTTTTACTTTGTCTCCCTCCCTCTCCTGCACTCTCCACCCTCTCCCCCTCTCTCGCCCACAGAGAGTGGGTGACCTGGAATGAGCTCTCCTACAGGCGGCATTGCTTCCTGCACCCAGACAGGGGCAGTGTGTCGTTTTTTTTAGATCTCAGGCAAGCTTCAGCTTCACTCTCTAGGGTATACCTTAGCTAAATCATTACCTCATTCAAATGTATGGGCACCTTTGAAAACCACTCGTCTCAGAAATTGATATCTGATTACTTCCTGTCACAGTGCTGATCACAGTGAAAAGTTCATGAGTGCAGCTGCCAAATCAATTAGTCGGAGGTGATGCACTGCTGTGTCCTTTTCACTTGCCCACACCAGCATTTATCCTTCCCTTGAAAAGGTCAGTCAATAGTTTAATAATTAATAGCAAAGAAGGATTTAGAAAGTCTTGCAGCTTGAGTGAAAGCTCTTTCGTTAAAAAATTATTCTAGGCTAAAATTGGTGAACTAATATGCATTAAAATGAAAATCTCTAATTCAGTACTATATTTTGGCTTATTTCATAAAGTTTAAGTTAATGAGAAAAGGAAAGCGTAGAGTTTTGAATAATTCATGTTAACTTTAGGGCCAAAAAAGAGCTGGACTTTAACTTTTTTCCAAATGTACGCATGCTAATTATCCATACACATAGTTCAGCTTGGGGTAGTTGTCATAAAACTGTGGGAAATGTTTTGTTTTTTTTAAATACAGTTTTGGGAAATAGGCTCATCATCTTTTTAAAGCTACAGCCAGCAATATTTTATCTCAGTACAAAGACTGCAACAGCTAGCCTGACACTTTTAAAGCCGTACAATAATCAAAGTGTAAAATGTACTTGTTGCGATGTTACGGGACATTAAGTGTCAATCGATCTCTTCTTGTCTCTGTAATGTTGCCAGGCAACCAACCAGTAGATCCTTCAAGCCTCCAAACTCTAAACCTGTTCAGAAAATTGAATTAAATAGTCTGACATATAACCGGCCAATAAACCACATATAGATGTTTCTACAAGGGTTACACAAACAATGTATAAGGTTTAAAGGACCAGTGTGTAGGATTTATTTAGGGTCATTTATTGGCAGAATTGAAATATAATATTCATAATTGTTTTCATTAGTGTATAATCACCGGAAATGTAGTTGGTGCTTAATCCAGATTGGATTGCATAATAGGCAATATGACAACATAATTAAAATAATTGTGTGTTTGTTCATTAACGGACCAACTGAGCCGCTAGTGTCTGACAGGCCGTGAGCAATTTACTGGCGAGGCGGCCTGAAGGCCTTGGTAGTTCGCCGACGAGCGAGCAGAGGGGTTTTCATCTAGCTGTGGCAGTCACTGTAAGATGCCTATAAATCCTACACACTGACCCATTAAATAGTTAGCTGGCTGAATGGTTTTGTTATGTTTAGACTGAGCTAAGCAAGCCGTGTCCAGTCTACAGTGTACGCTAAGATAAATAATTGGCTGCAGCTTCATAATTAATTACAAAAAAGCAAATAGGCGTAGTTTACAAATGATCAAACCATCGACATTTAAAGACTGACCTGCAGGTTCTATGAAGTTGACTCTAACTTGGGTATCCAGGCATTCACACGTTGATAATCAGAACAGTCATTTGGAGGTCACAGACTCGTGCACACAAAGAAGCAAAGAGCAACACCGACTCCTCAATATGACACACCTCAACAAGCAAAACGAAAATATGCAGAAATGATGTCATCCAGTTGATCTGGGGAAGCACACAATTAGACTGTGTTGGTTAATTTGCACTTAAAGCACCAGGGCACACTCTGATGCCCCATTTGACAGCTTGGAAATTCACAGTGCCATAGGAAATCCCATTTGTATATTCAGGGTGTTAAATTCTTGGGGTGCTCAGAGTGTACGTGGGGTACTTTAGGCACAGTGGCTAAGGAGTTGGAGAAATAGAGCGTTTCATTGTTGGAGGCTGTAGCCAAATCAAACTAATTGGCCCAGTCCACAGAACAATTTGAAATATCTCATCTCGAGGCTCTTACTTTTTATGGGCTTTTTCTATTATCAGCATAGCCAGAGTGCAGGGTACATTTCTAAATGGCGATAAACAGAAACCAATCTGATATTGAAATGTTGCTCATTTTCAGATGAGACCTCACAGTATGGCTTCTACATACATGATTTACTGAAATGTTTGACAAAACATATTAGCTGTTATAGG